CACCATAAACAACAAAAATAAAGCTCTGTCGATAAATGTTTTTCCTGGTCAATGTTTGAGATTTTGGTCAAACGCAAAACTAACCCGTCCGTACATATAGAGTCTGCTCTGAAGTCTGCTCTGTACGGACGGGTTAGTTTTGCGTTTGACCAAAATCTCAAACATTGACCAGGAAAAACATTTATCGACAGACTTCTTATGTAGTCTGCTATTTATTCAATTAATTAGTAGATTTCAGAAGAAGTCAATTAAAAAATTAATTCGATATTTGGTCAAACACAAAACTAACCTTTTTTTATAGCAGACTTCAGATGGAGTCTATTCGCAAAGTCAACAATTTGGTCAATTGCAAAAGTAATCCGTCCTTTTTCAGCATACTCTATGTACAGTCTACTCATTTCAGCAGACTTCTGATAGAGTCTACTGGTTTTCCACGTATTTAGTAGACTCCAAGAGAAGTCTACTGGAAAAAGTCAAACTCTGGTCAATTGCAAAAATAACCTTTTATTTAGCAGATTTCATAGAGAAGTCTACTGAAAAAAGTCAAACTCTAGTCAAATGCAAAAGTAACCCAATAGACTTCTAATAGAGTCTGCTAGCGTTTGCCGTAATTGCAAAATAACCCAGTATGTAGACTTCAATCGGCAGTCTACTAGTAGACAACTGACGTGAGTCTACTGTAGCAGTATGCTTGTGAAGTCTGCATATTTTATTTTTTTAGAAATGCATTTAAAACTTATTTATAATGAATTTTTTAGATTTTCTTGCTCCCACATGTGTTATATCTAATGTGTTTCATTCGGTGTGAATTTGACATATTTATGTGCAATATTTATTGCATAAATTAATTTTCTTGTTTGAGTAGCACTTAGCTGTTGTTGGTAGACGTCTGACTTAAGTCTATTTATGTATAATGAATTTTTCAGATTTTCTTCATCTAAAATGTGTGTTAATTATTTTTCTTCCTTATGGCTGAGTTTCACATCTTCTGTTATAATCCAACGAATTTTCATAATTAATTAGTCTTTCGTTCTTTTTAATAAACTGCTTCTGAAGTCTGC